AATTTTTCTAGAATTAGAAATGCCAAAAATAACACTATTTGTATGCACATATTTATGGTATTTATGGTATTATTTTATGATATTTTGGTAATTTAAGCTTTCTTAAATAAGCCATCGAAGGCTTTCATGATGAAACTCTCATGCCTTTTGGATAAAATTTTGATTAATTAAAAAAAAAAAGAAATTTCAAAAATTCTCACGAATGATAAGCAAATACGGAAATATTTTTATATTGTGATTTAGTTTGAATTGGTTGCAAAGTTTTAAAATGAAGCAAAGCATGAAGTATTTGGAGAGAAAAAAATCATATATATATTTTTTTTGATCGGTGAATATTGTAATGTTGAATTTGTTTTAATTCGTACCAAATTGCTTTGAAATTGATTTACCCTTTTATTTCTGATTATTGTGAATTCAGCTTATTTATCGTCAATCTTTGTTTGACTACTGTAAATTCTTTTTGATTATCGACAGTTCGGATTAAAAATGAGATAATCAAAAATTAGGTTTAAGAACTAGAAATCCTAATTTGAATATAAAAAAACTTAAAAATTTAAGCTTAAAAATTAATACTTAAAAGTCAATTCTATAAAGATCCCATTTTCTCACAACTGTAACAAAAACAACAACTATCAGTTCCATATTACTGTTACTGCAAGCATTAACATTAATTATAAATTCATATCGATTACTGGGGCTTTCCATTAATTACTATGAATTGATTTCGATTATTACAAATTCATTTTGATTACTGCCAATTTATCTTGTTTGAAGTGATTTCACTTTTAATACTGTAAATCCATTTTGATTACTTCTGGAAGTAACAGAATATCAAAATCAACAGGCAAATTTGTCGCAGAACATTAGACTAGACGTCAGATTATCAAAGATTTTTATATAGCAATTATCATATGCACTACGGTAGATTTAGAAGAATATCATTAAATCGATGCAATTTTTCCGGTTTATAACCGAAGCTACCGGATATTCATTTTAATGCATATCAGATCGAATTAGATGAAATATTGGTTTTAACGTCAACGCTTCAACAATGTTAATGGCATTATTCATAGTGGAATGTCTCGGTGGATTTCATATAGTTTCTTTTGCTATCGTTGATTCAAATTTGCATATATACATGTTTTATTTGCTAATCTTTGGAGCGCCTTTTTCTAGCTTAAGCTTCACTTTCAAAATATCTAATC